AAGGGCCAATGCATAAGAGCCTAAGAGCCAGCCTAAAGAGCCTAAGGGACGATATAGTGAAAACCTTAGGGTCAATGAGCCTGAGTCAAAATTTGATTCGAGGACCAAGACCTAAACGGTCAACTATTATCAACCACTCATCGAGCATGAAAACCTGAGGGGTTTATATCACAAGTTCGACACATCGAACTGGTTATCGACAAGCGTCGAAATTTGTTCAAAAAAGGCAAAGGGAAAACAAGAAATGTCGAGAAGCAAAAATCCTTATATACATATATGGTAACGTTTCACAAAGTTATATTTACGAGGCTCACGCCTAGAGTCCTTACACAAAAAAGGAACAAATGTAAACCTAATCTACCACCGGGATCGCTTAACCAGATGGAGCTCCCTCGGGAATCGTGCCTCCAACGGCCTGGCCTTCGACCCCTGGAACATCGATGGCCTCCTCCCCCTCAGGGACTTCATCTTCGCCTTCATCGTCCTCCGAGCCGCTGGTCGAATCACTGGCTGAACCATCATCGGAGGAAAGTAGAATTGCCGATTTTTCCTCTAGGGCCTTAACCCTCTCGATCTCAGCAGACAAATCGATGCCCCCTACGTATACATCCTCGAGAGCCTGTCTCCTAGAACTTAATCGGGCATGCCCTAGAGCTCGGGACAGTTTACTGCTATTACTGATCAAACAGTGACCATCTTGGCCACAGGTGAAAATGTCTCCTTGTAGTCTAGGCCTTCCTTTTGACTGAAGCCTTTGGCTACAAGTCTAGCTTTGAGTCTCTCCACTCTGCCATCAGCATGGTATTTTACTTTGTATACCCACTTGCATCCTATAGGAGCTTTATGAGCAGGCAGGTCAACAACTTCCCATGTGTTGTTTTCTTCTTGCATGGCAGCCACCCATCTTGCATCTTTGGAAGCTTCATGATAATGCTTGGGCTCAACTATGAAGGATTGAGCTGACAAGCATCTAACATAAGAAGGGGATAATCTATCATAGCTCAGGTAGTCTGACATAGGGTATGCACAAGATGTGGATACAAAATCCTGCATCCATTTTGGTGGCCCTGCAGTTCTAGGTTGCTTTCTGACTGCAATTGGTAGTGCATCATTCATGTCCTGCAAATGAGAGGACTCAGGCTGCAACTGTGGTACAACATCAGAAGCAATGTTGTCAACAGCTGGTATAGGAGTCGTTATAATATCTGATTCCTCAGGGACTGCTTCATTCCCTTGTCCTGCATCACTATCATGGTCTGTAGTGTGCTCAGCTGCTGAATCTTCACACAGTGTACCTAAAACATTTGGCATCTCATCTGGCTCAAGTGGTGGAAAGAATGGAGCAGGTGACAGCTTCATTTGTCTGAAGGGAAATATATGTTCCTTAAAGACAACATCCCTACTAACAACAAACTGTTTAGATTGCAAATCATACAGTTTGTAGCCCTTTTTGGTTGGAGTATATCCCATGAATAGTGCAGGTAAAGCTCTGGCTGAGAACTTGTCCTGCCTTCTGACATTCACAGCATAGCATAGGCACCCAAACACCTTCAAATGGTCCAAAGAAGGTTCAGTATTGAACAGTTTTTCATATGGAGACTTACCCTTTAGAACTGTAGATGGTAGCCTGTTTATGATGTGCACTGCTGCAAGAACACACTCACCCCAGAATTTTAAAGGAATAGAAGCTTGGAACCTTAGAGCTCTTGCTACCTCCAGAATATATCTATGTCTTCTCTCCACAACACCATTCTGTTATAGAGTATATACACATGTTGTTTGATGAATGATCCCTTGTGATTCTAAGAAGTGTCTCACATCTGAGTTGACAAATTCTGATCCATTGTCTGTTCTAATAGCTTTAACAGACCAGTTGAACTGTGTATGAATCATGAAAATTAGTCCCTTCATCAACCAACAAGTTTCATCTTTGGTGTTCATCAGAAATAACCAAGTGCTTCTAGAGTAGTCATCAACAATAGTAAGAAAAAGTCTTTTATTGTCATAGGTAGGTACCCTGTAAGGCCCCCATACATCTGCATACAAAAGTTCAAATGGACACTTTGTTCTACTAGTACTAACAGGAAATGGCAATCTAGTTTGCCTAGCTAATGGACAAACAGAACAATCAAAACATATAGTTTGATCCTTCCTTTGTAAAATGTTGTTTGAGCTTGCCAATTTTCTTAATAGCTTCCATAGGCATGTGTCCAAGTCTTTGATGCCAGATCCTCAGATTTATTGAGCTCTGCTTATTCTGTGTTGAAGTCTGCATAGCTATGGTATTTACAGTTGGTGTAGGTGATTGCCTCTTATGGAGACAGCTCCTAAGAATGTATAGTCCCTTAGCTTCACTACCAATCCCCAACACCTTGCCAGTGTGGAGGTCCTGAAACACACATAGATCAGGAAAGAATGCAGCCAAGCATTGCAACTCCTTAGTAAGTTTGGAAACTGACAGTAGGTTATACTTAAAATGTGGAACATGAAGCACATCACTAATTCTGCAATCTTTGAGAATATTAGCTGATCCTTTATGAGTGATTTTAGCTAGGTTTCCATTTGGTAAGTGAACTGAGCTACTACTGTCTAATGAAGTGATATTACTCAGCAAGTCAATAGTTGAAGTCATGTGATTTGAGGCTCCACTATCTATAATCTAGTCTCCCTGATTCAAAAAGGTCATTAGACAAATGATATTACCTGACTCAAGATCTGCTGCATTAGCTTTCACCTCTGCAGGCTTGCTATTTAGAAGTTGCAAAATCTACTGGTACTGTTCTGGAGTGAAGGTTTGTGCAACAGGAGTTGGAATTGGCATGCATTCCGCAGGTGCAGTCTGTTCAACTGCTATGTTAGCTGCAACTTGTGTGTTGTATTTCTTCCTGAACTTGTTATCATTCGGATATCCCACTATTTTGTAGCAAATCTCCTTAGTATGTCCCTTTATTTTATAGAAATCACAGAAAAGGTTGTAATTCTTCCTTATCTTCTGCTGATTTCCAGCCCTATTAGCCATTAATGCTGTCATTTCAGCATTGTCTAAGCTAGAAGCACTTGCCATAGTTCTTTGGCACTCACGTTCCATTAACATAGAATATGCCTTGTTCACTGATGGTACTGGCACCATCATCAGGAGTTGACTACGAGCTTGCTCATAAGACTTATTAAGTCCCATCAGAAATTGCAGAAGCTTTTGACGCTCCATAAACTGAACAAAGTCACGAGAATTTGCAGCATCTCGACCAGGAATTGGTGCTAAACTGTCAAACTCTGCCCAAAGTACTCTCAATTTTGAGAAGTAAGTGGAAATTGAGCTAGTACCTTGCCTAGCTGTAGCAATTTCTCTATGGATCTGAAAAATCCTAGAGCAATCGACCTTATCGAAACGTTCCTTTAAATCATCCCAAACTTCACTAGCATTCGAGGAATACACCAAACCACTCAGTAATTCCGGTGAAAGGCAGTTCATCAACCAGGATAGGACAATCGCATTGCATCGTTCCCAGCTTCTCTGGTTCAGTGTTGTCAATGGTCGCCATTGTTGATCCTTCAAGTGAGCTTCGTGAAATCGAAATTGAGGAAGAAACTAAGACCACACTAATGGTCGTGTGGCTCTGATACCGTGAAGAAATCAGCTACCATGGATACTTGCCATGGATTGGAAGCTGCAGATCTAAATTTTAGAGAGAGGAGGAAAATGGCGTGATATTTCTAAGGAAGAAGAAGCATTATTTCATTGCTCTGTAACTACTGTATATGTACATGTAGAGTATATATAATTAACCAACTCTAACTTTTGACTAGAGTTAAAAACTAAGCTAACTTGAGTTACACTAACTCAACTCTAAGTAAGTTAGTGACAACTAATCTAACTAACTAATGAAGTCTAACCACCACAATCATCACTAGTCTCTACAATTTTATCCTTTCCTTTTCTTTTGTTTTTTCTTTCCTTAGGGACAAGGTAGGCGTGGCATCTATGGAGGACAAGTTGCGGGAATCGAGGCTGAGGTGGTTCGGGCATGTGAGGAGCAGAGACATGGTTGCTCAGGTGCTATTCGAGGTGTGAGAGGTTGTCTATGGTGGGTCTGAAGAAGAGAAGTATTGGGGAGAGGTAATTAGGTAGGACATATCATTGCTTCAACTTAGGGCCGATGATTAGGGTTGTAGGTTGACATATAGTAGTTTGTTCCTCCTGGGACATTCGAACTAGGAATATTTTTGTAATTTCCTATTTACAGTTCTTTCTTACGCATGTTGCGACATTTATGGGACCAAACTGGGTTTATTGTTGTTTACTAGGAGGAGAACCAGATAAAAACCAAGATTTTAACTGTAAGAAGAAAAAGGTAAGTGTGGCTGCTGGGATTCGAGCCCAGGTCTCCACGGCCACAACGTGGAATTCTCACCACTAAACTACAGCCACTTTGTTGTGAAAGAATTGGCCCTGCTACATATTTAACCGTATAATTTTTTCTTCTATCTTCCAACTCTCATTCTTTACGTATTTCACTTATTTTTCTCTTCTAAGCTATGCGATTTTAATTGTTCAATTGTTGGATGCTACCGTTTTCTCTTCTAGTCCTTCAGACAATTCTATGCTTTGGTGAGTTCTTCACTTTCACATATTCAACATTTTGGAAGAAGAGAATGTTTTAGAAAGAGAGCTGACGAGTATGGAGAATGATTAGAAGTAATATAACAATAAAAGTATCATCATAATATATATATAGAGAGATATAAGAAAACACACGTAATTGTAAAATTACATAATGGAAATATTGTTCAACGTAACACCCCCACTATATATAGTACCCCATCTGCCTTCTCCCTAGAGGAAAAAGGACTTACAATGGAATACAAATTCAAATAGCCTGAAAGCTAATAACATAAAGACTGGACGACTCAAAGCAAATGCAAATCAACAAAGAAAAATGCAAAAAAAAAAGTATGAAAATGAGCTTGGAATGAGAATGTGGTTAAGTAGACAAGTGTACTTAGTTCTTAGGTGGAGGTGGAGTGAAAAATGGGATAGAAGTAGGGAATTTTGGGAATGAAGGAAATGATGGAAATGGTGGCATTGCAACTCTTGGAATGCTTGGAATTGATGGCAATGGTGGCATTGATCCAACCCTAGGAATTGATGGCATATTTGGAATAATACTAGGCATATTAGGGATACTTGGCATGCCTGGAATTGTAGGAAAACTTGGATTATTGGCCTGTAATAACTGACGACCAGCTTCAGATTTCTCACTCAATATTGCAAATGAGAGAACCACCACCATGAAAATGCTAGTGTATATGCTTCTAGCCATAGTTTCTTCTTTTAAAAATATTGCTCAAGGTTTTGTTTGCTGTTGATGAGAAACTATGTAGTGGATTGAGGTATTTATAGTGGAAATTTGGTTAAGCTAATGATTTGATTATAGGGTATTAATTAATTTGTTGGTTTTGGTTATGACTTTTGATTGATTGGTTTAGAAAAGCCTGAAGGCTGGGGGTAAATTGTTGTTGATGTTAGTTTACCATCACTTGGTGTTTTATTAAATTGAGTCATTGCCCAGTTGTCAAGTTTATAAATCAAGACCAAAATTGAAGCAAAGATGTGGCATCATGTTAGTCTAGCTTCTTGTTGGACACCTATGCGTGTATATTCAACTTTCTTGGTTTTAAGTTGAACTAAAATGTTTGTTAAACTACCTCATAACAGTACTTTGGCGAAGGAATCTTATCATTACTAAACAAATGCAAAAAATGTACAAATAAAAAGAATGCTGTAAAGTATGTCGTTTTTTTTCCTTTTATTTTTCCTATTATAAAAATAAAATTAAAAAAGAAACACATTGCATTCATAAAAATCATCAGTTAATTGCTCTTAAGAATATAATTCGGAATAGGAGACGAGATGCCATCATTTTAATTATACAGTCATACCTCATTTCTATAACAACATTTTTATATAACAGTCATTCGTTATAAAAGCCAAATTTTTCTCGAAACTGATTTTTAAGTTATATTTTACCTCTAAAACAACTTTTTACCTATAACAGCAACAACCATATTTATAACAGAACGCTCTTTATAAAGTTACCCCTCTATAACAGCCATATAGAATCTTTATTACTAATAATAATTCTAGAAAAAGGCACACAATCTTTTGTATTAAAAAAAGTTTCTATCTTGCATAATCCAGATATAAGATTTGAAGATTTGCACTTGATATCTTTTCCATTGGACAAATTCCAAAAAAAATATTTAGATAGAAAATTTAAATATTAAGCTCTTAGACGATGTCTTCAAGGGAAAACTATTGGATACCTTTTTGCTGAAAATTTGGACACGAATCTTCGCCAATTCAAGCGTTATATCGCTATTAAGAGAATAAAAGTTGCGAAACAAGCTACAATTACAAAGTTCTTCCATTACTCTTGAAAGAATTTATTTTTCTAAGTAGCTTTTAAATGTCTACTTTAGAGTTTAAAACTTTATACGTTTAGTTATGAATTTATTAATAATGTATTAGCTTTTTCAATATTTAGTAGTGAAATATGCATAGCGTTTAAGATTTTAAATTTGAATAATTTTTTTTTATCTTTTATGTATAACATTAAAAAAGGAAAAATAATTGATTTTTGGATATATAACAGCCAAAAAATATTTAAACATCAAATGTTGTTATATGTGTATAATAACCATTCACTATAAAAGCCAAAAAATATCGGAACAAACAAGACTGTTATAGAGAGGAGTGACTGTAAATAAGCACTTAAGACGAAAAAAACAACTTAAGATATTAGATAATCTGTTACATAAAGAAGGGAATGCTAATTTGAGGGCAAAACAGCTACAATATTGCTTAAGGTAGGAGGAGAATAACGTCTAAAGTTTGATGTAAGAGGAAGAAATTGCTTTATAAGACAAAGTTGCAGGAGGAAAAATGATTGTAAATGCGCGGCAAACTAAAGTTGTATTGGAAATCTGCTTCAAAAAGACAATTGGCCATTGGTTCGGTTTCCGAGAACAGATAGCAGATTCATAACGTAAAGCAAGCAAGTAGTAGATGACCGTTGAATACTGCTAGGCGTGAAAGAACAAGCATCTGTAACATTCAACAATCTATCACGTTCAATTTTATGGTAACTCATTAAATAAATTAAGATATCCAAACTCTTCTAGATACACATTATACACTTTGGTGCTGTAATACGAAAATACACATCCAATGCAATGCAAAACAGTTAACAATACCTTTAAGAGCAGAATATATGAATAAGTTCAGAAAGATACACCCTTCAAATTGCACCTACAGGCCTACACTAGCTGAGCTGCTAACCAGTTGCCACACATTTTCCATGTTTCCCTTTCCTGGGCAACTCGGACATACTCTGGCGCAAGCTGAAAATGCACATTTCTGACAGGTAAAAGAACCATTCTCAAATCAGGGATAGCACGTATATCCAAAATTTCTCCGAAAGCCAGAATGTTATAATCTCAGACCATATTTTCATACCGTAAACTGAATCAGTTACAAATGCTTGCAATCAAAAGGAGATTTTACTGGCACTGAGAAAGCGATTTGAATCTTCTCCAGGCTCTTGATCATGAACTGCCCCAAAACAACCACATAGCAAATTAACGGATTTAGAAGTTCGTCAATGACATAAAACCAACAAACTTCTTTTTGGACATCATGAAAGCAATACTGAGAAAATTTAGCTCATCCAAAGGTTATCACATTTTGGGTCTTCTAATAATATTGCTTACTCTAATAATGCAATGCACCAACTTGCAAATGATTTGCACACCAAAGAATTGCAGCACCAAAACACTGAAACACAAGATAGAATGTATATATCAATTTACTTTTCCATATGATGCATACTGGGAAAGGTTGGTGATAGAAGGTAAGAAAATTCCGCTGACTATATAACGCACGAAAAAGTTTAAGCTAGAGGGCTCTACGTGCAGCCTGTTACTAGGTTTGGGTAATCACTTACCATGCGAAATATGCCCCTTTCTCAATATGCTTTTGGTATTCCTATTTTGGACCCTCATTGCCTTATTTTACATGTTAAACTTTTCACTTGGCAGAAATTATTGAGACGTTTACTTAGAATCAGAAATTACTGCTGAGTAGATAAGAACTAAGAAGGGAATGATTGTCCTTTTTGCCTTTTTAAGACAGGCATCAAAGAATGCAAAGTCAAGATTTGCCACTAACATTCTCCATAAAATACATGTTCTTCCATAAATGAAAAAAATAAGGGAAGATTGTGCGGATCACTTGCTTATCAACACTCAGCCATGTTTATCATGCCAGTTTCTGATGTTATCCTGAGGAGGAAAACTGTTGTAACTAAAGAAATCATATAACGCATTAGGATTGCGCGTTCTAGATCTGATAAAGAAATGAACCTTGGGCCTAACTCAACCCCAAAAGCCAGCTCAAAGGGTAAGGATTGCCCAAGACCATTTAAAGAGACCAAAGCCTCCATCCCACTACTGATGGACTCAACAGTCAAGATCAAATGCTCCCTTACCATGTTTATTTATTTTCTTATGAAATAAATAAACGTGGTAAGGAAACATTTAATATGACCCAATAAACCTCAACCACCTTTTTGCATGAAAGAGTAGGAAATAGTTCGCAAATTGACCTCCAATGAGAATTGTCTCCTTGATGTTAGCACTCATGCATATACAAAAGAAAGAACGTAGCATGTTCATCGAACACCAGAAATGGCAATTATAGGCAAATACCTCGTCAATGAAGACTGTTATGGTTCTCATGGTCTCGCCCACCATCCCCTGTTGACTTCTCTGCAAGAAAGATATAACAAGGTTTTAGTGAATGAAAATCTCCAGCCGACTCAGCTAAAATGCACAAACGAAAAGCAGATACTCTAATTTATATAGTAATTAAGGTATTAAGCATTTTAACTCAAACTACTTTACTCCTAATACCTTGAAACATTTAGTCCACCACAATATATTTCCCCTGCTGCCATAGACAACCCAGAGAGAGAGAGAGAGAGAGAGAGAGAGAGAGAGAGAGAGAGAGAGAGAGAGAGAGAGAACTGGACGCATTTCCTAATAAAAAAAATGCACGAAATAAAAGCCAATTTTTTCAGTTTCTCCGTCATTAACAGAATCAGGACAAGATTTTGGGACATGTGGAGTAATTTCTACATCACAAGCAAAAGTTCCACTGTGTTTGCTGGTTATTAGCCAAAAATAAATTAGAATGAGTTGACTATATATAATATACAACACTACAACAGATGTCTCAAACCACACAAGAGACGACGAATACCCATAGGATGCACTTCTTGAACATCAGAAAACGACATCAATATACAACAGGGGTGGATTTACATTGAGTGAAGCGGTGTCACGTGCTTCGTCGGAAAAATTAACTAAATATATGTGTAATGATATCTGAACATTTAAATTGAAAGAAATAAATTAGGTGACACCACTAGAGAAATAAGCAGTCTCCAGCGCAGCGGTAAAGACTGTAACCTTACTTCAAGAAGGTCGCGGGTTCGGTCCTTTGTGCTGAATAGTTTGGTTACTTTTTATTTTAGCAAATCAATTTAAAAATGGCTGGACTGGTCACCCCTTTGCAATATACTAGCCTGAGAACGAACATATCGTGCCTAAGTTCATCTTTACTTATTTCAGACAAAGGTAGCTTTTTGCTTAGCCTTTTTTTTCTGAAATATTTTTTCACTTTTTTTGTCTTTCTTTTTTGAACATTAAAATGACGTCAACGCATTTAATTTGCTTTTTATTTATACAATATTATAATGATTTATTTATGTGTTCATTTATTTAAATGTGACACCGCTTGCGAAAAGTTTTGTGTACGCCATTGATATACAATTTCATACATCCATGCCTACTAGAGATAGAAAAAGACCCACAGTATCACAGAGTGAATGTTAAAACCATTGTCAACCTAAACCACATCAATAACGCAACACCATGCATCCATGAGTAGCAGAAACAAGATGCTAATGAAGAAGAAGAAAACCCATTACTATTTCCCCCCAAGATCATCATAGTGAAATCCCCCAAGTTACGAACCCTCCAGACACACCACTTCTTCTATTTCACAATTCTCTTTGTTTCAATTTATATGACACTCTTCCCATTTTGCGATATTTCAAAATGGTTTAACACCATTCCATTCATAATATTCTATATAACATCCAAAAATTTAAATTTAGTTCAATATTCAAATTTTTAACTTTCATTTAATTTGTTTTGTCAAATTAAGTCTTCAACCATTATTTTAGGTATTTTCTTCTTTTTACCATTGTATAAAATGCAAAGGAGGAAATATTTTTCCCACAGCTAGAGTGGATAAGATTCCTTTAAACCTTAACTATGTGTATGAGAAAAATTAACTCTCCCATGGAAAATTAAATTTCCACGACGAGTTCTAGAATTACTGTTTCATAGAACTTTCATATACAATGACTTGGCTATAATAAAAAGTTCATGTACTTTACCAGTTTACAAAGATAAATCTTGTACATAAAACTATTTTTGAAAAATTACACAAGTAAAGCATTCATACAGGAGGGCAAAGTATCAATCAAGATAAAGAATAAAACCTGCGTACATCCTATTTGAATTGTCATGAAAAAGCTTGACACTATGTATCATGAAAAATAATTGTACCGTGTATCAAGCCAGCAGATAATTTGTGATCGATATTATCAAGACGCCTTTGTATAGACTTCAAAAGTGAATTCAATGATGTAATTCTTTTCCTAACACCAGAAATTCTAGCAGCATGCTGCATAATAAAAGGCAATGGGGCATCCTCCAGCAGTTTGTCAAGCTCTGCAGATATAGATGATTGGTTACTACATACATTAACAGAAGGTGCAAGCAGGACCATGAAATAACAAGAAAAGCAATTCAAAGAAACAGAATCTTCAAACGCCACATTTACCAACCTGAATCCCTATTCTTAATAGCCCTTTTATGTTTCAAATATTATATTGTACGATGCTTTCCTACATCTATAATCTTGTGATAGTTAGTGAATCCATGTTCAATTAATTAGTATTGATGAAATTCCCAGGGTATGGGGCTGAACTTCTATTCTGTCTGATTACTGTTTCCCTGTACTTTTCTCAGAACTTCTCTATTGTATGGCTCTTAGCGACATCACCCTCCTCTAGAGAGATCATTTTGTATCTAACAGTTCAAAAAGGAGATCATTTAGGATTGATATTCATTTTAATATCTCCAATAGATCTATATTCATTTTAATATTTCCCTTGGTGTCAAACCTTTCATAGGCAAAAAATGGTTAACAGCACTGGATCTGTCCAAGAAATAGTAACACTGGAAATGAACTAGAGTATCAGATAGACATAAGTCCTCTCAAGTAAAACTCCTAAGTTACAATGACGAGGTGGCTGAAAGTGCAAGAAGAACTGTCACGGGGAATATATCAACAGTGTCAAGCGATCATGTCCTTGCAACTGGATCTAAGCGTTGGTTAACTAAGCATCCCGTAGTAAGAGAAGTAGTTATGGACTATCCCTATGGGGGTGGGTGAAGGGAGAGCCCTATTTGAGGGAAAAATAAACTATTTGATTAACTCAGATTACCCTTCTTAGAATTAGAACCCATTGAGCAGGTTTCAGCACTCAGCCCAGCAAGGGAGAGTGGTCAAGTGGTTAAAAGCAGCAGACTGTAAATCCTTGTAGCATTTACTTTATGCTACAGCTTTTTAGTTAACATAACAAAAAGCTAGGAACATTAAACTCTGTACCACCCTCTAAACCTTGTCACCTTAGATTTTGTTGCAAGCCGAGTTGCAGCACAGTTATCCTCATATAGAAGATGACCTAACAAATTCAAACAAACAAGACTAGCCCAGCACACAGAGAAAGGTTTTCCAAGAAACTGTCTCAGATATCTACTCGAACAAAAGTTGATGCTATTTTGTTCTTCTGGAACGATAAGTAACAATCCATGAAATAGTATAATCATCCAAGACCTAGACACAGTTGATGTGGACAAACGGATTTCTATTATTGCAATTGCATGCGGCTATCAATAATCAGGTGCAAAAGAGAAAAACAACATGTCTTCTTTTCCTAGAGAGCACGAAAGCCTCATTGTACAATAAATGAAGAGGAGATACACGAAAGAGCTAAAAGAAATTTGAGAAAATTTTCATGTATACAAAAATTGGGGTAAGATCCACCGAAGTGGGTAGCCTTAACCGGATGTGTGCGATAACAGGTAAAGCCCGAAGGCTGTTCCCGTCCATCTCTCCTTTCTACGAACACGGAAAGAGCTAAAAGAAATTTCAAGCTTTCTCAAACTCTTTTTTTGGGGCACAGACTGAAATATAGTCCACTAAGTTATTGATTGTTCACAATGTATGGAATAAAGAGGAACCTTTTTCCTAAGCAACTATCTGATGAAATTTCCGGGAATCTGAATCTACGAAAACAATGTGTGTTTCCTATTGCTCTTTTTATATGCGTCTTTTCCTGTTGCTCTCTTGTAATTTTCTTTGAAGCTTTAAGGTTTAACGAGAACTTACAATAGCATAACGCAATAGCGAAGGAGTTCACTTAACTGAAGAAAGCAATTTGGATCTACATGTCACAATAAAGAAGTACAAGAACAACAACTACATACCCAGTATTATCCCACACAGTGGCCGTCGGGTCTGGGGAGGGTAATGTGTACGCAAACCTTACCCCTACCTTGTGAGGATAGAGAGGTTGTTTCCAATAGACCCTCGGCTCAGCTCAGGAAAGCATAAGCACCACATTAATGAAAATATAGACAAGAAGGGACGGTACCAAAAAGCCATATAAAAGCAAAATAAAAACAACAAGACAGTAAGATGATCAACAATGAAAGAAAACACCGCTTAGTCATAAAAACCTACTACCAACAGAAAGCGAGACTGCGTGCTAGCTAATACTACTGTAATGAACACTCTAGACTACCTACTCTACTACCCTAATCCTCGACCTCCATACCTTCCTATCAAGGGTCATGTCCTCGGTCAGCTGAAGTTGCGCCGTGTATTGCCTAATCACCTCTCTCACCTTTCTTTGGCCTACCTCTACCTCTCCATAGGCCCTCCGATGTCAGCCTCTCACACCTCCTCACCGGGGCGTCTGTGCTTCTCCTCCTCACATGACCAAACCACCTAAGCCGCGCTTCCCGCATCTTATCCTCACTAGGGGCCACACCCACCTTGTCGCGAATAACCTTATTCCTGATCCTATCTAACCTGGTGTGCCTGCACATCCATCTCAACATCCTCATCTCTACTACCTTCATCTTCTGGACATGAACGATCTTGACTGGCCAACACTTAGCCCCATACAACATCGTTGGCCTGACCACCACTCTGTAGAACATACCCTTAAGTTTCGGTGGCACCTTCTTGTCACACAAAACACCGGAAGAGAGTCTCCGTTTCATCCATCCCGCCTCAATATGATGTGCGACATCTTCATCAATCTCTCCATCCCCCTGAATAATAGACCCAAGGTACTTAAAACTCCCTCTCCTATGGATGACCTGCGAGTCCAGCCTCACCTCCCCTTCCCCTCCTTGAGTCTCGCCACTGAACTTACCTGCTATCTCCCACTAGCAATAAAAAGTGATTCATTTCTTTTAATTTTTATTTTATACATGAGGGGGTGTTGTTTGGGTAGCTTGTGTTCATCTTGTCTATTCCTTTTAACAACATGCTACTTTGCACAAGCAGGGGTTTTTGGGTGAGCCTGCATGTCATGTTGGAGCTGGATTTGTCACTCTTTATGCCTCGATCACTAAGCCACCTAGTTCGGACACCCACTTTAGTGAAAATAATTTGGAGTCTTTCAAAGATGTACCATAATAAGAGTGCAGTTTTTGACTGCAAAGCTTCATGCTTTATATTCAGCAACAAGTGCGAACAAGAAGGAGTTCGCTTAGCCTAATCTATATTATTATAAAGTGGGAAGCCCTTAACTAGAAACTTAAATTACTAGAATACCCTTTTTAAAATCTAATTGTCCAACGTATAAATTAAAACAAAACTTCTCATTGGAAAAGGTGCCTTAATATGCCTCGTAACAAATTCTCATTCGAAAAGGTGTCTTATGATGCCTTGGGTTTTTCAAAATGAAACAAAGGGAATAATTTGGAAAAAAAACTTAAAGTTTAGAAAAAACAAAGATAACTAAAGAAGCGGTGCAAATATACGATTAAAAGATATGGTGAAGGCTAAATTCATTTGCTATAGAATTCTGAATATTTTTCTAATCAAAAAAATTGTGGTGTCTTTAAGTCTAAGAAGTTCTGAAAATCATATTATTTTCATACAACATGACAAAGATATAATGATTCAGAATCAAGGATGAATAACTTTATGAAGAAAACTAAGTCAACAATCATGTGTATTTAGTTATAGTAATCATAATTTTAACATGATTTTTCTTTTCTTCTTTTCACTCCTTAATCTTTTGGTTTCTTCTCTTAAGATTGCAGATAAGAAAACAAATTAACGGAGGAGTCCATCATACATCAAATATTTTTCCCTCGATCGATCGGTAAGCTAATTTCCTCCATATACAACAGTGCATATTATTTTTTTCATGTTAGTAACTTTGTATTGTTATCATTATTGAAGAACTTTTATTATTTGGTATGCATCGAAGTACGACTCTATTTCTTTTTCTTTTTACCTTGCATATATGTTGGTTTAGTTTAGTATGTACTACCATAATAAAGTTTCTGATTTAGTTTTCTCCTATTGTCTATTTTGGATCAAAAATAAAAAATGACTATAATCTATAAGCTCTGTGGGGTATTTTTTCATGCATTTGTTCACATGACAGAAAGAGAGATCAAAATTACCATTTAATATATATATATATATATATATATATATATATATATATATATATATAGAGAGAGAGAGAGAGAGAGAGAGAGAGAGAGAGAGAGAGTACTAAATATGTTTAGAAATGAAAATACAAAAATTATGAAAAATTAACAAACTTTAGAAAGATATGTGCAACTCTAAAAAAACTTAACGGCAAAAGAAGGATAAGATACCTTGATTAATAGTATGTACTATATCTTTGTCAGGCAAATCTTACAATAGGATAGTTTCTATAATTAACCTTTTGTTTATTTTTTTTAAATGAAAAACATTTTATGAAAAATAAAGTTAAGTTATTACAATAAAGGAGTTACAAGAAATGTCTATTGGTGAACTGGAACCTAGGAATATATTATATGAGTGATTCTTAATTAAAATAACCACAACAAATAAAAAAATATTTATAATTAAAAAGTGAATTGATTAACAAACTATTATATTATAAATTAGTGCAAAAATAGAAAGAAAAAAAAACATTAAAGCACTTGGCATTTTAAGCGAAAAACAGAAAGAGGACTTTTGTAATAAATACAAAGAAATCTAATGTATGAAAGAAAAAAATAAAACAAAATAAAAATATTTGAATAAAATATTTTTAGAAATAAACACAGAGAGTATTTTTGTAATTTATTTCTCTTAATTTTTTTTAAGAAATACAAACAATTAAAATAATTTTTCGAATCAAACTGGATTTACTTTATAAGGTTCCAATCTAAGAGACACACGAAAATTAAAACATTGATATTGATATATTTTTTATATTTTCACTTCTTAGACGATAGTATTAAGATAGTCCTTTAAAAATCTACCAACTAATAGTAATTTAATAACAATCATAGACTCTTGTATCCATAAATCATAATATTTGAATGCATAATTATATGCTTGGATAGAGAAAGAAAGCTTTCATTAAAACAAAGAAAAA